AAATAAATTTCGGTTCGGTTAACAGTTAAAGAAAAAATAATTTATTTAAGCAAATAATTTGTTTATTTTTTTTATAATTAACAAAACTTTTACAAGTCAAATACAAATTGTCGTAAGTTAAAATCATTAGAGAGCTTTGGCCCAGCGATTTGGGCATCTAGCTACTCTCCCCCAAAGGCATAGGTTTGAATCCCTTTGGGCGCAAATTGGTTCTTAAATTTTCCATTTCAATCGGGTAGTGACACGTGTCACCACCTGATTGGTTAAAAACATTTAATTAAATAATTTAAAATTCATAAATAAAATCTTCCAATCATGTATTGACACGTGTCATATTCTAATTGGATAGTTAAATTTATTTAATTGAATTAAAATAGTGACTAAATTGATAGAATATGTAAATATTAAGGACCAAATATAAAATTATGCTATTTTTATTAACGGACACGTCAGCAAGTCCGCTTTTTTTAACGGAGAGTGGTCTGATTGATTCAATTAAAAAGTTTGGTTGTCGAATTGAGAGAAAAAATAGTTCGGTAGCAAGATCGATTTATGACCATAGTTTGGTGGTCTTCCGTGTAGTTTACCCTAAAAAAAAAGATAAATTGTAAATGATAAAAAATAATGCAATCAATATTTATATATGGAAATTCAAAATATGTTTACTTTAATCCCTATAGTATAAATAAATAATAAATAATATTAAAATTTATTTTTATTCAAATAACCCTCAAAAGGACACTCCAAATTTTTAGAGGTCTTCCATAGGTTAATCAAATAATTAACAAAGAACCTCATAAATTTTATAGTGATAATAATAACATTTTCTTATGAAATATATATAATACAATACTTAGAAGTGTTCTCTTTAAATAAGTAAAATATACATTTGTGAATAAAAATGTAATATATATATATATATATATCGGTTAAAAAGAAATAACATTTATTCAGAAAACAATATAGTTAATGCATGATGGAATTTCCTTTATTTTTTTCTTTTTTCTACTCCTAGTGTGCCCCAATTATTCAAGCTTATCTTCAGAAACTTGATTCGGGATGCTCCAACTTGTTTCCCATACATAACAATTCTTGTGCAAGTGAACATCTTAGTAATGGTAACTGAACTTTTTTAAAGCTTTCATTTAAGTCCCTCAACTTTTAAAACTTGCAATACAGTCCCCTAATATTTAAACCTTTTGTAATATGGTCCCCCAACATTTAGTATGTTTGCAATATGGTCTCCGACCGTTTGACGCCATTACACTGCCGTTAGTTACGTTTATAATATGGTCAGTGAACTTTTCAGGCACTTGTATTTAGGTCCCTTAACTTTTAAAACTTACAACACAGTCTTAAATTTCATTCTAAACCCCAAATTCCTTATCGATCTCGAATTTCTTTTTTCGTTTCTCTTCTCATTTCTAGCGTAACTTTTCATCGGAGATGCATGAGAAATTCTAATCTAACTTTGAATCATGGGGAGGTGTTGACTTGAATAAGGGTCAATTGAGAAAAGACCCGACCAAGGGACTATTGGGACCATCAACGATTCAAGATGTAATGTTAGATACAGGACATCTCAGGTGAAGCATAGATGTTTGATGAAATGCTTGTGAGAAAAAAATGGGGTTAGAAATGAAGAGTTGACAAATACTACTAAGATGAACTAAGTATCATTGTTGAAAGTCACCAACAAAGCTGTAATTATTTTGTATAAATGACATATAATAATTTCTTCGTTTAATCCTTGTGCTTAAAGATTTTCCAACAGATGATCAAATATAATGAAATCCCAAACAGCGCATTCACCTCTCGTTTGGTTTTTGTTCTTCAATTTTCCGCCATGTAAAATTATAAACCCAAACAGTGCTCTGTCTTTCAGCTTTTTATTTACAAAGAAACAATGGAGGAAGAATTGCTGGAACGCAACACCGATTGCCTTTATTTCTTAGCCTTTCCCCTCACTTACAAGAAGGTATTTATTTTCTCTTTTGGGCTATCCGAAAGTAAGCTTTTCCTCTTTCACACTCTCCCATTTTCAACTCGCATTGTGTGTTTTTTGTTGAAATTTTTATGTTTCTGGAACTACATGTCAATGATCTGGATATTCAATGTTAGTTTTGAACCAAAACCATCTAATTTTCTTTATTTCTTCTTAATCAAAACTTTTAGTACTCCTTAAGAAAAATATTCAGTCCATCAGAATAGAAGTGAAATAGGGTCCTAGGCTAAATTTTTTTGATATTCTTGTTTGATTTTCTTTAAATCAGGGAATTGGTTGTGAGTATCAACATAGTGAAATCGCCATGCTCAATCCGAGAGACTGCTGGTACTAGCTTACTGGAATTGTATTGATCCGACCTATGGTTTTCGGCGTCCTATGAGCTCGTATTCTTTTTAATAAGTTCATGTTGATTATGGGACTGATATATCGTGAACGAATTAAATTTTTTTACATGTTTTGGAAATTTTACAATTGAATTGTATTGAATTATAGCTTTAGAAGACAATTCTGCATGCATGCAACTCGAAAGGCATCATGACAGAGTAGTATATTTGGAGCAACTACTTGACCCTACCATGATGCCTTTCGAGTTGCTAAAAAGACTGAGGTAAATACGCTGTTTGGGATTTCATTATATTTGATCATCTATTGAAAAATCTTTAAGCACAAGAATTAAACGAAGAAATTATTATATGTCATTTATAGAAAATAATTCCAACTTTGTTGGTGACTTTCAACAATGATACTTAGTTCATCTTAGTAGTATTTGTCAACTATGCATTTCTAACCCCATTTTTTTTCATAAGCATTTCATCGAACATCTATGCTTCACCTGAGATGACATGTATCTAACATCACACCTTGAATCGTTGATGGTCCCGATAGTCCCTTGGTCGGGTCTTCTCTCAATGGACCCTTATTCAAGTCAACACCTCCACATAATTCAAAGTTAGATTAGAATTTCCCATACATCCCCGACTGAAAAGTTACGCTAGAAATGAGAAGAGAGAAGCGAAAAAGGAAATTCGAGATCGAAAAGGAATTTAGGGTTTAAAATGAAATTTAAGACTGTGTTGCAAGTTTTAAAAGTTGGGGGACCTAAATGCAAGTGCCTAAAAAGTTTAGTGACCATATTGTAAATGTACTAACGAAAGTGTAACGACGTCAAACGCTCGGGGACCATATTGCAAACAGACTAAATGTTGGGGGACCATATTGCAAATGGACTAAATATTGGGTTACTGTATTGCAAGTTTTAAAAGTTGGGAGACCTAAATGAAAGCTTTATAAAAGTTTAGTGACTAAGAATTAATAAAATATTAATATGCTATTATTAATAAAATGATCGAATGAGAATCCGGGCAAAATTTAGTGTCTACACACCGAACTTCAAAATTTGTAAACCAATGTTGCGTTGAAGCAAAAATGGTTTTATTACTGTTTTGAACCTCTCCGTAAGGACTAATTAAGCCCAAACATGGATGGAAACAGACAACATATTTTGGGAATATGAAAAAGGTAAATCAAAATATTAATGGAGATGCAGGGGATCGAAGGCCGTGCCTCTCGCATGTAAAATATGCGCTCTACCATTGGGTAGGGCTGTTCATTCTGTTAAAAATGAACTGAATCGAATTAATCATAATCGAATTAATTGAATTTTTTTAACCGTTAATCGAACTGAATTCTTTTTCAAAAATATTAACCGAACCGAATAAATTTCGGTTAATTCGGTTAATTTTCGAATTAACTGAATTTTTTTTAAAATTTTTTAATTTATATAAAAATTAAATGTTTTTTAATTCAAAAAAAATTATAATTAATTTAAATAATATATAATTATAAAATAAAAATTTCAGATAAATTTTTTAATTAATTAATATTGATTTAGGTTTAAAAGTTATTGGATCTTAAATTATTAATTGGGTTTTAAATGGTTTGGACTTAGCCCATATGTTATATATAATATATTTAATATTTTTTAATTAAAAAAACAATTTACAATTAATTTAAATAATATATAATTAAAAAATAAAAATTGTATATAATTTTTTAATTAATTAATATTGATTTAGGCTTAAAAGTTATTGGATCTTTAATTGAGTTTTAAATGATTTGAACTGAGCCCATATATTATATATAATATATTTAATATTTAAAATTTAATTTCGTTTAATTCGGTTAATTAACCGAATTCGAACCGAATTAACCGTTAACCGAATTATAAATTTTTTTTAACCGTTAACCGACCGAACTAATTCGGTAACCGAACCAAATTAATCGAACTAATTTGATTCGATCGATTAACCGAATTAGTTCGATTATTTGAATAGCTCAACCTGTAAAGGAATCTTTGCGATTTTATTTATTTATAAATTCATCCAAACCTTGTCAAATACATGATGTTTGCTTTGCTGTAAAAAAATTAAAATAATATGTTAAAATATTGTTTTATTTTTATTTACAAATAATGATTCAAATAAGTACAACACTGAATTCGGATAAATTTAATCATTTATAATATTAATTCAATTTTATTATCATTTAAAAAACAATACATTACACGTTGAATTATATAAGATGTGAATTATTTATATACAATTTTAAAAATAAAATATTATATATTAAATTTAAATATAAATATAAAGAGCCAAATTAAATTTTTAGATTTTAAATATATAAAGAATTTATAAAAATCATTAATCGGTGATAGTTTAAGCTTTTAATAATAATTTTTTGAATTGTTAATGATTAAGAACTAAATTATTAATATATATATATATATAAGCAGAGTATTAAAAAAGTCATTTTGTTTTTTTAAATGATTGCGACGTTGAATGTGAATTTTAACAAAGAGATCACCTTACTATTTTCAAAATGCAAATGAACCAATTTGTCCAGTATTTAACCCGAAGGGGCCAAAATAAAACACGAAATATAATATACGGACAATTATAAATCAAAAAGTGCCAACCCATAATTGAGATGAATGAACAAAACCAAGTCTGGATTGATGAAGCAAAGTAAAATTATACGTCAAAACAACCAGAACCGAGATAGTGAACATGCAGGATACCTATTTAACAAGTTTGAAGTATAAACGATGACGATAGCAACGATAAGAGCTGTAACAATGATCCCAATAATCCACTTGTTCCGGTTCATCCTCCTTGACATAGCTGTCAAAATTTTCTTACTCTTGCCAATGTTATCATCCACTCCGTGAAGCTGGCAATTAAAGCAAAAACCCAAATAATACACATCCAAAATGGTTTACCATCAAACATTATATAATTTGAAGCCAGAAATTCTAAGGTTCAGTATCATATAAGCTTTCGATGTAACATGCTCGAGCGACGTTGTGCTGAAAGAAATTGGAGGTCATGAGATGCTATACCAAGGTTGTAATATAGAGCTTGAAAGAAATTACAACTCGAATACAAGAAAAACATTGTTAAAAGATTCATACTTCTGTTAGAAAATTGGAGGTCATGAACAACAGAGAAAACCAGTGTATAGAAGAGGTACCGTGTTATTAGCATGCAAGAGAGCCTGTCTCTGCGAATGCAAATCCTGAAGAATTGAAACACCAAGCTCTTCTGTTTCAAGCATGGTTCTTCTACTGTCCTTAACTCTGTCAGTGCTCTGATTCAACCGTTCTGTAGTCATCATCAGTCTTGATCTTTGATTAGTCGATGCCTATTACATATTCATCTATAAGTAATCAAAGTTAATTGCAAGGAAAGCAGACCATGGCCAACCACGGCATGTTAAAAGTTAGAAGAACGAAAACATACGGTGAGCGCATCAGCCATTCCAGACTCTAACAACTGATCTCGGTCATCTGGATTTAAATTACCAGATGCAATTCTTTTAACTTCGCTTTTCAGATTGTTAAGGTCTGATTTATATTCCCTTAGCTTAGCAAGAAGCATAGCCTTGACATTTGGCTGCAAACTTCTTGCCTCAAGGTCCATCTTCCGAATCTGATAAAGGAAAAAAAAACATCAAAGTTAAATAGCCAAAGAAAATAAAGACCAGATAGGGGTATCTAAACATGAAATAACCAGTTACCAGTTCTTCTGCATTTTCCAATCCACCTCTTATATCAGAAACTTTTTGCTTTTTCTGCTCTGCAAACAGAAAAACAATTAATAACTTGAAGTGAAAACAATTGGTCAATTACAAAGGCCGGAGCTAGAAAAAAATGAAAAAAAAAAAACTCTCATCAAGCATATTACAAATGTAAAAACTAACCTAACAAATTACTCGATAAAAGGAAACACATATTATTTAGATTCACGTCCTAATTTTGTGTCTACCAAACACTTTACTATCAAATTCCTTTATCTATTCAATGATTCAACATCTCCCCAGCTATTTTTCCTTAAACAGGGTACCCTGAAACTGATCAGCTTGATGACATTGTTTAAAGGCCCAAAACATTTTCTTTCTTTTCATCTTCTAAGAAGTATTTATCTCAACCATCCTATGTTACTCAAACTCTTTAATTTTCTTGTAGTACCCGCGGCAGACACTTGTATCCAGAGGAAATCCAGACATTAGTGTGGAATACATGGAAAATTTGAAAAAAAAATTGAGCATATCCGTGTCGTATGCATACCCATATCCAATACACAAAATATCCGAGTCCAAGTAATATAGTAACCATACATCTACCTAACTCTTTCATATAACTTTCCACTTCGGTTTCTACTTGCAAGTAATAATACAACAATTTAAAGAACCCAATTAAAGAACAAAAGAAAACTCCATCGCACATCAAAAAAATGATAAACCAATGTACGCTAACTCCAAAACTATTATTCATTCATGGTAGTTTATTATTAACTTTGAACTAATTCCAATCACAACATATATTCTACTTGATACTTCAGAATTCCTTTCTTAATTCCATGTTTAATGCTTAAAATTCAGGCAGTTCAAATTCATCCCTGTGATATCTCACACAAAGTTACAAGAGAATCAACAAAACTATGAAATATCACATTCTTCAATCTGAAAATAAGCAGCATGAAAATCACGAGAATTAATCAAATTAGATCAATTTTAAAAATCCAATGAGAGATAAAGAAGATCTGATCTTCTTTCATTCATCTTCATATCTCCTATTTTTTAATCAGCAGCAGAAATTAAGCTGAGAATCCTTTATTCCGCTAAATTCCGCTAAAAAAAGAAAATGAAGAAATTGACACCCAAAAAAAAATTCGTTAATAAGAAAAATTTGAAATTACAACCTCCACTGATTGCAGCAGCAGCCGTACACTTCTTGGAAAGATTCGCCGATAGCTCGCAATATTGCCGTTCATATCCTTCGAATACTTCACTCATCTTTTGATTTCTTTATCTAAAATAAAAATTCTCTTCAAAACCAACAACAAGAAATCAGGAATTAAGATTTAAATCAGATCAAAATTCAAATACTATAAAGTAAAGAAAATAGAGATAATGAGAGAGAGAACCTGAGTCGCAATCGTCGTGGCTTGGTGGTTTCGATTATTAGTATTTCATTGCATAATAAAAAAGTAGACGACGACAGCGTTTTTCGTTTTTTATTGTTTATCGTTTCGTTTGTGACTTTGTGTGGCCTGTGGGGGGATGAGTGATGATAAAGTCACCGTCGGTGATGTGATTGCTTTGGAGTTTGACGTCTGTGATTGACATGTTATAAAAGTTTTGTGGTCTTATAGGTGGAGAGTTTTACATTTATGTACAGCTCTCGGTATCATTAGTATTTGCTCTACTAGATTTTAGGAAGAAGCGTTTATACCTTAAGGACGGGTTTTCGTCGTATCTGATATGATTAATAATAAAATTGATTTTAACTTAATAAATTAATACATTTTTTTTACCTTTTTACTAAAACATAAAATTATATATAAATTATTAATTAATTTAATTTAATAATTAAATATAATCAAAATTAACTCAACTCATAATTTTAGTGCCTTATGTAATTTTATAACTATTCTAAATTTGAAATATTATCCAATACTGTTTTTTCATCCCTGGTCATTAATACGAATTTTTTTAAATATTTAAACAACGAATATTTTAAAAAGATTTGGGAAAGAAAATATCATAAGAAAAGGGTTTTGGTATCAAATGCCTATAGAATGGAATACATGCCATTTATGCATTATTTAACGAAATTTGTTATTGAGTGGTTTAAAAGTTTTTTCAAGATCTTAAATGTATATTAAAATTATCTATTAATATATTTTTAGAAAGAAAATTAACTATAATATCAATATCATGCGTAGAAATAATGAATAAAGATATCAATAGTAGTATATTAGTTAATAATATTTTGTAAATAAAGATTTGTTTTTTTATATATATTATAAGGGTACTACAAAAGTCAAAAATATAAGAGAAATGCAGCCTTGTAATTTTAAAGGACCCAGAGGCCAGAGCTGTTCAAGGAATTTAGCACAAAGATCGAGAAGAGATACTGTGGCCCCTGAACCCTCTGAGATCCGCAGATACTTCTCCCGATTGTAAAGCTGCTCACATTCGTAGCACACGGCAAACACTATGTAAGCACTCAGTAAAACTACGACAAAGCAGAACCATCATATTATTATCAATGGTTTAATATTACCTGCAGTTCATCAAGATCGGGAAGCCACCTGCACTTCGTGTTATAATGCCCTATATTCTTCCAACGCACACTCATTTCATGCAGTGCTTTCAGAACTTCCGTCATGATTACCCAAGGACGGGCTCCCAGACTGTAAAAAATAAGAACACTGCCCGTCTAAACGAACATCGGTGCATACTTAAGGTGTCAACCACGTTTTTTGATATTTAATCACCAATGTAACTACTATCGATTGAAAATCGTCGAGTCTGAGTGCCCATTTCCTCTCGGGGCTCCTTAAACTCATTGCTTCATGTGTAGTGTACCCCGAAACGGTATCCAACTGCTGGAACAAATGTAGGTTCCATCGGATGGAGACCGTTGAATATTCCTATAAAGAGATTCAGAAAACCAATAAGAATTCCAACTCTGTATGCAAGACCAACTCTATGAAACAAAGTGCAAGTAGAGGACACCATAGTTCTTGAAACTCAGCTCCAAGATAGCCCCTGGAGACTTCAATTGTACTTATCCAACAGTAGTAGTAAGCACAGTTCCCTGGAACATAATGCAATAAGGAACTACCCAAATCCATGAAGCCAAAAAAATGGGAGTTTGAGAAGTTCAAACCTCATTTTGAACTCTGTTGCGAAGAGATTAGCCAAATGGTTCCTTCCAAATCCCAGCCCACCACTTCCTGAAGGACCTCATCATCTGAAATCATGTTCTAATCAGTAACAAGCATATGACATTAACAAGTGCTACAATAGCAGTACAGAAGCCTGATATCAACTGGTATTGACCTTTTTAGCTAGTGAGTTGTATCCGGTGAGGGAACAGCTAAATATCCAGGGTGCTGGCGGATCTCAGAATGGTCATTCTCCTCATTGGATTGACTACGAGCATCCCCGAGATCAAATCTCTAGCACCGGCAGATAAATACTTGGAAGAATGATATTTTCTCTGCGGGACAAAAAATGCAAATTCTAACTTGACAATCTCAGCATTTAAGCAGGTAGTGAACACTAAATAGGTCGAAAGAGAAACAACAATGAGAACAAGAGAAGACCAGATAAGCAGATAAATATGCACAAAGAAATGAAAATTTGATATCACTTGCCTTTATTTTCCTGAACAGGATGGAAAAGTTTTCAACATCAAAAGGAAGCCTGCCACAGAGAAGAGCATACAATATAACCCACAGATCCATACATCCACTTCAGGCCCGGCGTATAGTTCACCGAAATAATCTATAACAATAGAGATCCACATTGCACGCACATTAGAAATGCCATCATAACATATAAGAAATCACAGTTGATTTCTAAATTCACAGACTCCTACCTCAGGGCAGCGTAGTTTGGGCCTGCCAAACTGTTCTGAGGAAATGACCATCTCTCATTATGTTGCTGAAACCGAAATCGCAATCTTCAGGACATTACATCTGGAATTGAGAAGTATATTTTTCGGGCTTAAGGTCTCGATGAACAACCATATTTCTGTGGCAGTATTCCACCCCAGAAACTATCTGCTGAAAAATGTGGCGAGCCTCATCCTCCTCAAGCTTTCTTTACCCTGCAATATAATCATAAAGTTCTCCGGATTCTTTTGAAAGTCAGCATGCAATTCGGTGCACATGCACCGAAAGTGTGAAAAAAAAGGCAGCCTCAATTGTTGACAAAATGAAAGGGCAAATTACAAACTTTAGTCACTAAAGTTTAGGGTATTTACAAATTGATCCTTAAGCTTCAACTATAAATACCCTAGCTCATTTAGCTTAAAATCATCCCAAAGTATTCTAGCTTTCTTCTTCCATACTAAGAGAATTTAGAGAGTTTCTTGAGAGTTGTTTTCTCCTTTTATCAAGAGAGAATTATCATTGTTTTCTCATTGGTAGAGAGAGAGGTTGTAATTCCTATTTTCTCATAGTGAAGTTCTTCTACCGTTGCCCGTGATTTTTACCCTAATAATTTTAGGGGTTTTCCACGTAAATTTTGTGTCTCTTTTATCTTCATTTTTATTTTCTCAAATTATCAGTTGTGATTTTGCTCTATCCGATAGCCGTCTTCGGCAACAATTGATATCAGAGCTAGATTAGAGTGTGTAATATCTGCTTATTGTCTTTGTGGTTGCCACCAAAAGGTGGATCCTCCAACATGAGAAAGTAAGAAGTTATTACCCATTCTTTGAAGGTTTCAGAGAACTATTCACGATAGTGAAATAGTGGGAGCTATCCGTAAAAGAAGCTATGGCAACGAAATTTGATATTGAAAAATTCAATAGGAGAAATTTCTCATGTGAAATTAAAGATGAAGGCCATCCTGAGGAAAGACGGGTGTCTAGCGGCTATCATGAAAGGTCGGGGATTTCGCAGATGATAACAAATGGAACGAGATGGACGGAATGCTATGACAAACTTTCATCTAGCATTAGCAGATGAAGTATTTTCAAGCATCGAAGAGAAGAAGACAGCTAAGGAGATATGGGATCATCTCACAAAAATGTACGAGGCCACATCGTTGCACAATAAAATTTTCCTTAAGAGGAAATTGTACACTCTCCGTATGCCAGAATCTACTTCAGTGACGGAGCACTTAATACACTGAACACTTTATTTCTCAGCTTACATCCTTAAGCTGTAAAATAGGAGAACAAAACGTGCTGAACTTCTACTTCAAAGTCTACCGGATTCATATGATCAACTCATCATCAACTTGACAAACAGTAATGTCACCAGTCTAGTCTTCGATGACGTTGCAGCTACTGTTCTACAAGAAGAAAATGGCGCAAGAACAAGGAAGACAGACAATCTGCAACAAGCAGAAGCGTTGACAACGATGACAACGATGAGAGGGAGATCAACAGAACGTGGCCAAAGTAGCAGTCACAAACATGGTAGATCGAAGTCGAGAAGCAAGAAGAATTTAAAGTGTTACAACTGTGGAAATAAGGGTCACTTGAAGAAGGATTGTTGGAGTCTAAATAAAACCTCCAATCCCAAGGCAATACCGCAAACACTTCAGATGATGGAGATGCTCTATGCTGTGAAGCGTCAACCACCGTGAAGGAAGAAACGATTTACAGATATATGACTCATTGATTCGGAGCAACATACCATGACCTCAAGAAGAGATGGTTCCATCATTATGAACTTGTCTCAGGAGGATCTGTGTATAGTTATAATGATCATGCCTTAGAGATCGTTGGCGTGGGAACCTCAAATTGAAGATGTATGATGGAACAATTAAAGTTGTTCGAGATGTGCGGCACGTGAAAGGTCGAAGAAAAAATTTATTATCCTACGGATTGTTGGATAATACTAGCAAGATTGAAACACGGAAAGGAATCATGAAGGTGTTCCGTGGAGCGCTTGTGGTGCTGAAAGGTGAAAAGATAGCTGTAAACTTGTACAGTTGAAGGAGAGACATTGCTAGAAGCAGAAGCCTCTGTTGCCTCATGTAGTTCAGATTCTGCAATGCTATGGCATAAGAAACTTGGACACATGTCAGAACAAAGAATGAAAGTCCTTGTGGAGCAAAAGCTACTTCCAGGCTTAACAAAGGTATCACTTACTTTATGTGATCATTGCATAACAAGTAAGCAGCACCGGTTGAAATTTAACACATCAAATTCTAGAGGCAAAAGTGTTCTAGAATTGGTTCACTCTGATGTATGGCAAGCACCAGTTACATCCCTAGGCGGAGCAAAATACTTTGTCTCATTTATTGATGACTCTCCAGAGATTTTGGGTGTACCCTATTAAGAAGAAGTCAGATGTATTTTCCACTTTCAAAAACTTCAAAGCGCGGGTGGAACTTGATTCTGGAAATAAGATCAAGTGTTTCAGAACAGATAATGGAGGAGAATACACAAGTGAAGAATTTGATGACTTTTGCAAGAAAGAAGGCATCAAAAGACAGTTCACAGTGGAAAACACTCCTCAACAAAATAGAGTGGCAGAGCGGATGAACAGAACCTTGTTAGAAAGAACAAGAGCAATATTGAGGGATGCAGGCCTAGAAAAATCATTCTGGGCAGAAGCAGTCAATACCGCCTGTTATTTGGTGAATCGAGCTCCATCACTGCAATAGAGCTGAAGACACCAATGGAGATGTGGACTGGTAAACCAGCTGATTATTCAAACCTCCATGTATTTGGAAGTATTGTGTACGTGATGTACAACGCCCAAGAAATTTCAAAGTTGGATCTAAAATCCAGGAAATGCAAATTCTTGGGGTATGCTGATGGAGTCAAGGGGTATCGCTTGTGGGATCCCACTGCCCGTAAAGTGATCATCAGCAGGGATGTTATCTTTGTAGAGGATAAACTACAAAGAAAAGAAGACAATGATAGCAATGAAAAGTCAGAGACTACTCAGATACATGTGGAAAAGGAGGTTGAACAAGGAGATTCTTCTGAAGCAGAACCAGCACATGATGAACAAGAACCAGAGAGTTCTGAAGCTCCAACAACTCGTCAATCAGATCGTGTGAGAAGACGTCCCAATTGGCACTCAGATTATGTTATAGAAGGTAATATTGTATATTGTCTTTTAACAGAGGACGGTGAGCCATCAACATACCAGGAGGCAATAAACAGCTCAGATGCTTCACTGTGGATGATGGCGATGCAAGAAGAAATCGAAGCCCTTCATAAAAATAATACATGGGACCTTGTGCCACTACCACAAGGAAGGAAGCCAATTGGTAACAAATGGGTCTTCAAAATTAAGCGAAATGGTGATGATCAAGTTGAGAGGTATCGTGCAAGACTGGTGGTCAAAGGATATGCTCAAAAGGAAGGTATTGATTTCAATGAAATATTTTCTCCTGTGGTTCGACTACAAAACAGTTCGAGTAGTTTTGGCAATGTGTGCTACATTGAACTTACATCTAGAGCAACTAGATGTTTAAAAAGCTTTTCTTCATGGAAATCTTGAAGAAGATTTATATGCTCCAGAACAGAACCATCATATTATTCTCAATGGTTAAATATTACCTGCAGTTCATCAAGATCGGGAAGCCACTGCACTTCGTGTTATAATGCCCTATATTCTTCCAACGCACACTCATTTCATGCAGTGCTTTCAGAACTTCCGTCATTACCCAAGGACGGGCTCCAGACTGTAAAAAATAAGAAACACTGCCCGTGTAAACGAACATCGGTGCATACTTAAGGTGTCAACCACGTTTTTTGATATTTAATCACCAATGTAACTACTATCGATTGAAAATCGAGAACTAAACCTCGAGTCTGAGTGCCCATTTCCTCTCGGGGCTCCTTAAACTCATTGCTTCATGTGTAGTGTACCCCGAAAGACGGTATCCAACTGCTGGAACAATGTAGGTTCCATCGGATGGAGACCGTTGAATATTCCTATAAAGATTCAGAAAACCAATAAGAATTCCAACTCTGTATGCAAGACCAACTCTATGAAACAAAAGTGCAAGTAGAGCACCATAGTTTCTTGAAACTCAGCTCCAAGATAGCCCCTGGAGACTTCATTGTACTTATCCAACAGTAAGTAGTAAGCAACAGTTCCCTGGAACATAAGCAATAAGGAACTACCCAAATCCATGAAGCCAAAAAATAATGGGAGTTTGAGAAGTTCAAACCTCATTTTGAACTCTGTTGCGAAGAGATTTAGCCAAATGGTTCCTTCCAAATCCCAGCCCAACCACTTCCTGAAGGATAACCTCATCAATCTGAATCATGTTCTAATCAGTAACAAGCATATGACATTAACAAGTGCTACAATAGCAGTACAGAACCTGATATCAACTGGTATTGACCTTTTTAGCTAGTTGAGTTGTATCCGGTGAGGGAACAGCTAAATATCCATGGGTGCTGGCGGATCTCAGGAATGGTCATTCTCCTCATTGGATTGACTACGAGCATCCCCGAGATCAAATCTCTAGCACCGGCAGATAAATAACTTGGAAGAATGAATATTTCTCTATGCGGGACAAAAAAATGCAAATTCTAACTTGACAATCTCAGCATTTAAGCAGGTAGTGAACACTAAATAGGGTCGAAAGAGAAACAACAATGAGAACAAAGAGAAGACCAGATAAGCAGATAAATATGCAATCAAAGAAAATGAAAATTTGATATCACTTGCCTTTATTTTCCTGAACAGGATGGAAAAGTTTTCAACATCAAAAGGAAGCCTGCCACAGAGAAGAGCATACAATATAACACCACAGATCCATACATCCACTTCAGGCCCGGCGTATAGTTCACCCGAAATAATCTATAACAATAGAGATCCACATTGCACGCACATTAGAAAATGCCATCATAACATATAAGAACTCAACAGTTGATTTCTAAATTCACAGACTCCTACCTCAGGGGCAGCGTAGTTTGGGCCTGCCACAACTTGTTCTGAGGAAATGACCATCTCTCATATGTTGCTGAACCCGAAATCGGCAATCTTCAGGACATTACATCTGGAATTGAGAAGTATATTTTCGGGCTTAAGGTCTCGATGAACAACCATATTTCTGTGGCAGTATTCCACCCCAGAAACTATCTGCTGAAAAATGTGGCGAGCCTCATCCTCCTCAAGCTTTCTTTACCCTGCAATATAATCATAAAGTTCTCCGGATTCGACATATTCCACAACCATAAAAATGTCCGTTGTGGTCTCGATGACCTCGTAGACTAGTGTGATGTGAGGGTGCATCAACAACCTCACGATTTTAATCTCTCTTCCAACTGCGCCAAATAAAATATAATCATATTATACTTAACTATAATTTCTAGTTAATGTAGTATCTCGTTCTCAAATTTTACTCAACAAACTAAGTTGAGCGACAAATTTGCAAATTCACGTTTTCAAACATAATACTAAAGGAAACTTCAAAAAATGATTCAGAAAAATATAAATCACGTGAGTAAACCAACTAATAAAAATAGTAAACACAAAAAAGGCGCGAACATACGTTCCTTAACAATTTTTTTTTTTTGAAAAAAAATATAAACCTTTATCCTCCATTGCCCGCCTCCTAATCTCTCTGAGATTAAGAATCTTAATAGCTACTGTATGACCAGTCAATACATGTTCAGCAATTTAACCTTTCCAAACGCACCGATTCCGATCGTTCTTCCAAGCCTGTAATTAGATACACTATCCACCTCACTTCCTCCCGATCCATCCATTTTTTCTTCCTTAAATCCGAAACAAAAAATTCAGAAAAAAAAAATCAAAATCAATCAAATTAAAGCGGCTAAAAATCGTGAAAAGTAAGTGTAAAACCACGTGATCGGATCGGAATTGCCTCGTCTTTGGCTTTGTTTGGATCGGAGAACACTGACGAGCAAAGATTCGGAGCTTCAAGGAATGTTGTTCGAAACGGGATTTTCTTGGATTAATTAAAAAAAAGTTTACGCTGTTTATAAACTATAAGCAAGAAACGAGTGAAAGACAAATGAAAGAATATCTAAATAGTTTGTTTGCTTTTAAAAAGTCTCATTACAGTAAATAAGGTAATCACACCAAATATCATTAAACTTCCAAGTTTAATATCATTTTTATCACAGATATTACTTTAATTTTAACAAGTAAACTATTAATTTATGCATCGATTTTTCATTACATTTTAAAATTTTAATTTTTATATAAATTTAGTCATTGTCATTTAGTTATTGTCATTATCTATCAATCACTGACTGTCATTTGTTGTAAAATTAGTGTCAAAACATTAGTATTTCTCATCTCTCTTTTCATCTCAAAATAGTTTTTTTCATAAAACTCGCTTAAAATTGACAAACATTCATTCAAAGACTTGAAATTTTAATGCTCTATTTTGAGGTTTTCTCGGATTTTAAGGATTTAAGGTTTGTTCAAAATTTAAATGGTTAAAAGTATTCTTTCAAAAGATTATCATGCCTTAAAATTAGCCTCATAGGCTGATCATCGAAGGAGATTGAAGTATTAGAACATTTAATATTTAGATGAATTTTTGTCTCTTTCATGAAACCGACCTTAAGAGAAAAAAGAAATTAACCGAAACAGTTAATATTAAACCGTTAACCGTAACCGTTAACCGGTATAACCGTTACATTTAATAGGTTAATTAATTGAACCATTAATATTAAACGATTTCAGTTAACCGAAACATTAAAAATGATGGTTAACGGTTAAAGTTACGGTTACAAGTTTTGATAAACAATTAACCGTTAAGAAATTAAATTTATAATTATATATTTCTAATTTATTAGATTTTTACACAAATAACTTAATATAGTTTACTATTATTTATAATTTATATATATGTTTAATAAAAATTGTATACAAATAATTTTATATATATATATATTTATCATTTTAATTTTTATTTCTTTGAAAATATGAAAATATTAGTACACCAATATAATTATGTGTTTATTGTTAAGTACTAAGATATTTGGAGATGTACATAATTACCGATGTAAGTATGTTTAAGTGCTACACTTTTTTATTTTATTCATTTACATCAGTGTAAGTATATGTTAAGTTATATATTTTTTTGTAGTATGAATTATGAAATAATTTGACAAATAATTGTAATAGGTTAACATACGGTTTAACCTGTAACCGAACCGTTAATAATAGTTAACCGTTAGTGATTAAATGTTTCTTAAGGATTATGTTACAGTTAAAAAAATCTCATAACCGTTTTAACAGTTAATCGACTGTTTAGGCTAAATGGTACAGTTAATTGTCCATGAACAACCTAGTGAATTGGGTTTTGCTTCTGCTTATGGGTTTTTAAGCAAAATAGCCGGCTAATGGTTACCAATAAAGAGAAAAAAGTGTAACATCCACATACTGATGTGGATGACCCGATCCGATTCAAGGTGTCACGTTAGGGCTACCAGAGTGACTCACCGTAAAAATCCAGAAAATTAAAATTTATGTTAAAGTGCACAATATCATAAAACAATTTATATATTAAAAATAGAATTTAATAATATCCAAAAATAAAACAGATTTTCAGACTTAGATATAAAAATAGAATACAACCTACATGCCCCTTAATCACATACACCATACTCCGCAAACAACATCGGTGGAACTCTTTTACTGAAGTCGATAGCTGCACTGGTTTGATTCTTTTAACCTGAAATGATGAGTAAAATAGTGAGCTTTGGGAAGCTTAGTAATACAAAACTATCAAGTTGTTAGGTATGACTCATAAATATACCGGTAAATATGACAGGGTTATATTTGTAAATATGTACCAGAGTTTATTTATTATAAATAGAGATGTAACCTAAACCTATGAGAAATTGAATAAAACTTCTAGCGCCGCCTACGCACCGATGACGTAAGCACATTGCTGAACTTCGTTAAAATTCTCGTATTCTTTCGTTTTTCTTTACCCGATTCTTCAACACAAGTGATGCTGAAGGGCATGCAAATAATAGTCAAACATAAAAAATTCTTTATCTATTTAGACGTCTACAGGTTTTCGGGATGAGCTGAGGTTTCACTTATATTTCTTAAAGTAAAAGCCATGAAGATTTCAGTTCATACGAAACATTCAGAGGACCGAATTTTCAGGAAATCAAAAAAGGATGTCTAGTGTGTTCCAACAAAAAATCGATGAAAATGGTATAAATCTTTTTAAAACAGTAACAGTTTAAACCATATTTTTAAAACCATAGTAAAACCCTCTAACCAGGGTCGACCCAATACATGTGCCAGATGGGCGACGGTCCAGGGCAGCATGTAGGGGCATACATATCAGAACTAACAGAAGTTGCTGTTGGAGCAGCATTAGGAACCTGACCAGCAGAAGACGAATGCAACATGGAATTAGACAAATAGTTTATTGCAAAAAATCAAATAAACCATAAAAAAGAAAGATTGTTGAATTGCAATCTTAGTTTTCTACCTTGTCAGTACTTGTATCTCATATAAAGACTGAAGTGAAAGGAATATTGACGGCAGATGCAGCAACTTGAGCAACTTTTGTATGTAAGCCTTGCCCCATCTCAACGCCACCATGTGTAACTAAAACAGTTCCATCAGTGTAGACATTAACAAGAGCTGCCGCCTACAACCATTGAAAAGATACTTTATTTGTATATTGTTATATTTTTAAGTAGGAAAACTGTAGTCATCTTGACAAGCAACAGAAATACATGCATAG